TTATTATTCATCCATCTCATGGTCGAGATGATCAATTGTGATGTTTTCAATGTCCGAACGACCTTTTTCGGGTGGAATTTTGAGGTGCACCTTACTTCTATAGTATAAAGTTGACACCTTATATAAACTTTTTCCTAAAAATAAAGGAAAAGTTTAGGCAATTTACATTGATATGCCATGTATCTTAAGGTATTAAAAAAAAAGAAAAAATATCTCCTTGCACCCATTTTGGTGTACCATTTTCCAAGAGACCTAGGATTTTAAAATATTTTTGGTGGAATAGGGTTTCCAATAATATATCTTCTAACCCATTAGACCCATTTAACCCCTTCGACCGTACATTCTAAGTCCAAACAATAACCAAGAATCTCAGGCCAATTAACACAAAGAGGAGTTGAGTTTAAGTTGTGCAAGAGGAGACATGATCCTTACATAAGAACCATATGTACACCATAGAAAAGTTGCCAAAAAGCAAAAAAACATTAAAGAAGAACTACAACCAAGGTACATGGCATGATTAGAACTCACAACCAAGGTACACGGTATGATTGGTCTTAAAAGGTTTTAGGTATAAGAAGAGCATTGACTTTGATGAAATCCTTTCCCCCGTAGCAACAATGTCATCAATTCAAATAGTGTTAAGCTTGGTTGCAACTTTAAATCTAAAGATTGAGTAGCTAGATGTCAAGATTATTTTTCTCCTCTGGGATTTATAGGAAGAGATTTATATGGAGCAGCTATAAAGATTCAAGACAAAAAAGAAACAACATATAGTTTGCAAGCTGAAGAAGAAACTATATGGGTTGAAACAAACCCCAAGGCAGTGGTGCAAGACATTTGATTCCTAGAAGGGAATTTTGGGTACAAGAAAACAACCGCAGACCATTTTGTGTTTGTCAATAAGTTATTTGATGGTGATTTCATTATCCTTTTACTATACATTGATGTCATGTTGAGTGTCAGGACATTAGAAAAATCGACAGGCCAAAGGAAGAGTTGAGTAATGCCTTTGTCATGAATGACTTATGACCTGCTCAACATAACTTGAGCATAAAAATCTCTCATGACAGGGAGGCTTGGAAGGTATGGTTATCAAAAGAAAGGTATTGAGAAAATACTCGAAAAGTTCAACATGAACATGGTGAAACTTGCCAGTTCCCTAGTACGTAGCCACTTCAAGTTAAACGCCAAGCATAACCTTCAAATGTAAAGGAAAAGGAAGAAATGGAGAAATTAATTATCGTACACATCGGACGTAGGGAGTCTGATGTACGCGATGGTGTGCACAAGGCCAGTATCTCATATGCAGTTGCCATAATGAGCATATTCATTGTTAATACTAATAGAGAACACTAAATAGCAGTCAAGTGGATATTAAATATGTTAGAGAAATATCGAAAGTATGTTTGAGCTTTGGGAGAGGTAAACATATATTATAAGGGTACACAAATACGGATATAATTAGAGATATAGACTCCATGAAGCGAATCTCGAGATGCATGCTTACTGTTGTACAGGGAACAGTTTCATTGCAATCCAAGCTGCAGAAGTATGTGCCTTGTCGACAACAAAAACTGAATAGTCACATAAGCTAGGAAGGAAATGTTATAGATGAAGGGATTCCTTGAAGAGCTAGGCTTGCAATAGTATATGTTTATTATCTACTGCGACAATCAATGTGCTATCCACTTGAAAATTCTAGCTTTCATTCAAAAACAAAACACATTGATGTGGGAGGGACATCTATGTCATTGCTGAATTAGGTGGCCTGTTTTGGAAATAAAGTCAAAGACTTGCCAGGCATGCATATAAAACGAAAACTTACGTGGGGGATAGGGTTTCTTATGAGCGGAGTTCATCTTTTTCTTTTAGAGAGAGAGATAATGCATGCATCGTCTTAAGATCCCCTTTTTTATGTATGTGTGAGAGAGAGTTCTTATAGGTAGATCTAGAGCCTCCTAGAGAGAGTAACTTAAGAGCGACGGAAGGAAAACATATGTTTACATTAAGATTTGCCTAGATCAACTCAAATCTTTGCTAAACAAATTCATATTATAAAAAAAAGTAGAGAAAGTGGGATCACTCAAATCAAGGCTCAAAAACGTTATAGATCCATGCAGATCTGATTTTTTTCTGAGTCCACGGGCAGCGTTAGCTTCATGATCAATGTAAATAGCCTTATAATACTTCTAAATTTTACTAATCTAATTAATAATAGAAATATGCAGAGACAGTAAACTAAATTAATGGAAACTAAACTAAAATTAAATTAAGGAAGAGATACTTACCTTAAGGAATGGAAATCCAAAGATTCAGGCTTGGATTAGGACGCTCTTTTGGTGTGAGCATCTCCTTTTGGATGCCTCTTGCTTGCCGGAATTCGTAGATCTGATATTCTTTTACCTCACTCTAAGGTTTCGAAGGCGTTGAAAAAGGTTGGGGATTTTTAGGTAGAGCCTACCTAAAGCTTTTTCTAAGGTTATGAGGAGGTTTCCTTAGTTTTCTAAAGTTTTTGGGGTCTCTTAATATCAAATCCGAATTTTTGAAGTTTATTGATTTTTTGGGTTTTTCAACTATTTTTTCTAATTTTATAAGAATTTCCTAAGGTAGTATCCTATTTTCTAAGATTTATTGATAATTTCGTGGACTTTCTTAATCTCAAATGTCCTAGGGATTTTGGGCCATTTTCAAAGGTTTTTAAATGTATTTTGGGTGTATTTTGGATGGGGTATTTATAGGTTGAAGTAGGGTTAGGTTAGAAATTAGATTGGTTCGATTCAAGGGTCCAGATTGAGTCAAAAAGTCAAATTTACATAATTTTACCAACTTTGACAAATTCAAAATTAATTTGGAAAAAGAATCCACCGGGCTGTGCCCATCGGGTTGCACGAGGCATGATGCGGCGCTTGTTGTGCACGAGGCAAGTGGCCCAACACTCTGTTCGGTGCGCATGGCTCGGGCAGGGTTATTTTGGTCGGCCCAGCTTGGCCCCTTTTGTATTACTCTTTTACTTTTCATTTTTCTTCTGTGTCTACTAATCCTGGCCTAGCCAGAACAGGGTCGAGCCAGGCCAAAGAGGCCCTAGCCTTGGCCAACCCATGGCCACCCTTGTGCACAGGCTCATTTCTTTGGTTAAGAGCCTGCAAGATCCAACTCTGTCATTAAGAGTTCTTGCCCAACTATTAAGAGCCTACTCCCATCATTAAGCCCAAGAGCTTGACCACCATTGAGGGATTACAATGTTGAGACATGACCACTTTAATGCGCTTATTTCACATCTTGACAATCAATTTCTTTGATTGCTTTACTCAACCATTAGCTTTGAAGCTAATTACATTACTTTTGAAGCTAAGATGACCTAAAATCCGGTTTTCTAAGAAGTGAAAACTATAAGCTAAGATGTCCGGATTTCCATGTAAAAAGCAATGTTTCTATGTGTTCATGGTTCGACTGGTTGGGTAGTGAGGCATTGAATGCACTTGTAAAGAGACCTTCATGCAATTAGATGTCTCTCTATCTTCAACAAATCAGTAATTTCAGACTTAAGGAAAAGAACTAGAAATATGGCAATTTCATAAAGCATTTGCTAGTAACACCATATGGACCAACTAATATTACACCATAAATGGACTCAGTCCTTATCCTGCAGGGGATTGTGGACATTACATCTGTGTCAACGCAGATTCTGACTACTACATAGAGGAGGGTAACTCAAGGAAGCTGAACCTTATTCAGCTTGCTCAACTCTCAGTCTACTGTGCACAGTTGTTCTTGCATGTCCTATCTGCTGTGTGCTTTGCAAGATGTCATTACAATAAATGAAGTGTTATAGTTTTTGTTTTGATTGTTAACAAATGAATTGCTTTTGTTACTCATCAAATATAAGTATCATGGTACACATGGAAGGGATAAAACAAAAAAAAGTGGGATTTATATAAGACGTCAATCTCATTAGAATTAAAGTTGTGTTATTCTACACATTTTATTTTAATTGGATGATGTAGATTTGACAAGTCTTTTAAAACAATATTAAAATCTTTTAAGACAACATCAAAAGTTGGCACTCTCAAAAGACATACCAAATACATAGTAATAAATAAGGACAATATAAATTGCCACAGTCTTACTTCTACAAAAAAAAATTACCGGACAAAAAAATACGTATATTTATATGTATGTGTGTATGCATATGTATGGTAATTATTATACATGGACCACCACATTTGCGTAAGAGATAAAAGGAAAAACCATCCACTGGTTTAAGAGTGCATGACCTTCTGCTCAGGAGTGTGTTTTTTTCATTCACTGAACACACATAGTAACTCAGATCCATTCAGTAAATGATGAGTGCATTGTTAATATGATGCGGAGAAGCTATTGAATGCCACAACCTTTAGATCACGATTATGCCTTTGATTGCTGAGAACAGTGCATTGTGTGTGCAAGAGAGAGATCTACAACATTACAATTGCTGCAGCCAGTAATATGACTACATTATTACAAAGACATCGAAATCATCTAAGCCAACAATCACCAAATTTTCCTTTCCAGCTTCCCCATCTCCACCGCACAGCCGGAAAACTACTCACACAGCAAGATACAAAACCATCTAGAATCTCCACACTGACATCCCAACGAATGAAGACTAACACATCAGGTTTTGCAACACAGTGACGCAACACGAAGGAAACAAAACGATGCATGACCTCAAAGTCCAAAACCATCAAATGCACCACCAGTTTCTTCAGCCGCTTCCATTGAAACTTCAGAGTCAATTCTTCATCGCCAAAAACCTTCCCCAATTCACACCAAGCCCTAGGCCCAAGTTCAAGCGTTTTTAGATTGGGAAACATACCCAACTCATCAAAGGTGCACATGCTTCTCTTCTCAATTGGTCTCTGACTTCCCAATTCAAGCAACTCAAGAATTAATGACTCAACATTTTCACTCTTAGAAAGGAGCCGTATGAGCTTGCTCAGGTCCATAGAATCCAATCTCAAGGATCTCAAGTCTTTAAACCCACATATATGATAAGAAGAACACATTTTTCGTACTGAAAGGTTGAGAACAGACAATGATGGTGTCGAGAGGACCAATCTATCGGGACTGATGCAATCCAATTTCAGCTCGATTAAATGAGGGGCAATTAGAGTTAGTGAGAAAGCAGAATTGGTTACAGTCCAATGACAAGTTCTGAGATGTGGGAGTTGAATAGTGGGATGTTTAAGCCCTCCCACGTTTATCAATTTTAACGTTTCTAAAGCAGGGAAGCACTCATTTACCATCTTAAGGTCCTCATCGTCAAACCTAATGTAGTCTAATGTTAGACACGTGAGCATGGGCATTGGTTTGAGCCCCACTACTGATATCCAAGCGGAATGCAACTCTAAAATTTGCAGCACCAAGCCTGCAAAAGATGGGCATGTAAGAACAGATACCACAGAACATAAAAAGGATTGGAAGAACTATCAATTAGTGTACACATTAAATGAAAATAACAAACTTAAAAAGACAAAAACAGGACAGCTTCAATTACATAATTGTAACTATCATACTGCATTATGCAACACTGTTTCGGAGAACTTTATTAGAACTTATTTATCGCTGTCTTATGAACTCTATAAGTAGGCTAAAATATCTGAACCTAGGAATTGGGCTTGTTCAGGACAGTTCAACATCAACACATATTAGCTCAGATCAGTTCAGGCAAAGACCTTTCACCAAAATAAGAAGAATATGCACAGAAGTCCAAATATTTCTGACGGTCCATCAAGCTGTCACCAAGCTCCACCAAAGGCCATCAAGCAGGCCTCTACCGAAGCCAAGGCTTGTCCATTGAGTCTGATGAACTCCATTGTAGCTCAGTCGATCAATACCCTCTGGGACTTCTACTGAAACAGAATTGATCTGATGCCATTAACGCCATGCCCAACAAGCAGAAAATAGGGAAACTTCCACAACTGGTCAGTTGCATCTCTGTCTAGGGGAACCTCCACAACTGGTTAGTTGCATCTGTTTATGGCAGTTTCCTAGACCTTTAAGTTGATGATGGGAACACTCACCACAATTCCCTTCACCATTCATTAACTTGGACTATAGTCCAAAGACAAGGCAGTTAGTATTATGGTGTTATCGGGCCTTTTATTTGAAAAATAGATCCAATTGAAAAGGAAAATAATATAAAAGGCAATCATTTTCAAATTGAATTCTTTCCCATTGACTTGAATAACTATGAAATAGAAGAATTCAATTTGTGAATGAAGTTACACGACACGGTTCATTCTGCTATTGCTCACAAGTTGCTCAATGACTTTGTTGATTTGGAATCACGAGATCGGTAGATGTTACAAATAATGAATCCATATTGTGAAAGGACTTCTTAAAGGGAATCCAAGAAATATTAAAAGCCCGATATTAATGTCGAAAAAACAAGAATGCCTGATTTCTTTATTAATTTTGATCAACTATGCAAGCCCGATTTCTAGTAACATTGAGATTTCCTCCAATGGATAGAGGAAATACTTTTTTCTATTTTATTTCTATTTATGTTAATCAGCACAAAGTGGCATCCTCTGAGAACTTCTTAGTTGAATATAGACTGACTCAAATCAAACCTACATGAGAACTCAACCAACAATGTTCCAAGTTAGCAAAGGAAAACATCAGGAGCAAATTGACATATTTAGAAAAATAAAATACTAAGATTCCAATGGCTTCTGTGTGGTCTGAGGTTCAAAGAAGGCACTAGAGATTTAACTTGATGACTATATGGTTTACTAACTCTAGAGGATATTTTTCACTTAAGAGCTGAGGACTGGTTAGAAATTGGAAGATTAGGATGGTTTAAAATGCATCCTAAAACCTAAATTAAGGGCACGTTGGACCAACCCACTTGCCCTGAAACTTAATCTCAATGTTGTCTTCCCATTACATTCCTCGATTATTAAGTAAGTTTGCGAGATTGAATCAGAAAATGTAAACTAAGTACATATTCTTAAGATATGAATAGATTCTCAAGGGTAAACTTAGTGGAAATCTCAAGGCATTTGCAGGGCTATCAGGAACTCTTGACTTCATGGATATTGCGGATCGAGTGTCTTAACAGGCCTTTAAGACAAGGTGATTTGCTCTAATCAATAAAATAGAAAACGGCAAACAAGGTTTAAACTTGAAATTTGATAATATCTTTTCTATTGTAGACTTTTTTATATTTCATCCAATTGAACGAAAATGTAGAAGTATGCTCCATTTACAAAATTGAATCCCCTTGCTACTATACCTAAGTATAAAAATAGAGGACTTGTAGAGATGCTTTAGATATTTCATCTTGCCAACTTATCTGCAATTTCAAAGGACTCCCTCCATGAGTGTGGAAGGAAACCCTCAAGTTTTCTTCTTTTTCTTTTGTTGAATGGTGAAGGAAGCCCTCAAGTTGCTCAGGATGGACAAAATTTCTTCTAAAATATTAGCTAAAAGCCATGGCTAAGCAGGCTTTCTGTTAAGCCATGCCATCATATTCGCTAGATCTTGTCCTCTCTTTTTATTCTTCCTTTAGGGGTGCAGGTTATAGGAATTACTATTCATTGGTGTTCAGGAGTATGTCATAAGAACCTTGCCCCTGTGAACCCTAAAGATTACCCCTAAACAGGCCGGACCCAGATTTCCCGTTGGGTTTCTGTTAAAATATAGCTTCACCGTACTCACTACTGGTATTTCCCATCTTGCTTAGCAAGTGCTATGAGGTGAAGTGCTCCTGGAAATAGAGAACCACTAATAATCAAAATCCATGGATGAGTATCAACAGAACTCAGTTCCATGGATGAGTATCAACAGAACTCAGTTCTTACTTTGGCCCAGGATATCACTGTGGCTTCAATCTTGTCCTTCAACTACTGGTTCCCATGCTCGGTTTCCTCGAATACTCTACTATTCCATTCCAACCAAAGTGAGCATAGTAAGCCAAGTCAACTACATAATATCATCCCAAACTTTGGTAATGGTGCTAAGAACCACTGATTGAACATAGCCTCTATAAATTCTGATGCTATCAATTCATGTCCGGAGAGCTTGAGAGCCTCTGTCCACACCATTGCTGCTACGGCACAATGCAACAGCGGATGGTACCTGATTCAGCTTCCTTTTTGAACATTATGCACCTATCAGTTACTGCCAACCCTCTCTGTATTAAATTATCTATTGTGAGGACCTTGTCTAATATCACCAGCCATCTAAAGACTATAATTTTGACTGGAGCTGGAATGATTCACACCCTAATTGAGGTTGAATTATTGTCACATGTCCATGTTTGTTCCCTGTCAAGGGATCTAACAGAAAAGTGACAACTGCTTTCAGGCATCCATATTACTACGTTCACTTATTGGCATACAATGTGGCTAGTGTAATAGTGCTACTAGGAGCTCGATTTCCTACTCTTTGAGATCACGTCTAGGTGAGGCATCCAAACTGGCTTGATGCCCGACTCCTAAGACTGATTCAACCACAATAGCTTCTAGTTTTGGAAGCTATGGATTCTTTTTCAGCCCTGTATCATGATACCTTGCGCTTATGAGTTCTATTTTCAGCCATGCAACCATGATACCTTCCTATTAGGGGTTCTCTTTATGCCATGCATCATGCCAAAACTTAAGCTTCTGCCATCCTCTATCAAGAATCTGAATTGATTCATGGAATTTTGCCTCACCTAATTCTGGCCTCTCTAAACCCACGATACCTGTCCAGTGTTTCTCAGAGGCCCCACCAATCACCGGGACCTTGAACACCGCTTTTATGAGTAAACCATTTGTTTCAATAGCTGTTCAATTGGTTTGCTTGGTCACCACCATCATTTGCCCATTGGAGTTCAGTTACTCTAGTTTATCTTTCTAATACCCAACTACACTGGCCTTTTTAGATTACAAACTTTCCCCCATCTAACCAGGTGTATTCTTTGTCTATCATCTGACCCAATCCACCAGAAATCTCTCATAAGCTTCTCTATTCTATTTGCAACAGCTATTGGAATGGGAAAAGGCTCGTAAAATACATGGGTAAATTTGACAAGCTGGATTTTATCACAAAATTTGACAATATAATGAAGAAGATTGTCGAGGAATCTAAATTTGAAGTCTCATGTGCTCATAGAAGCCGAGAAAAATCAATTCACACAGGAATGAGTACTCTGATTTCCCATTGTTCTTTGTACTGTCCGTCCTGTCATGCGGTAATCCCGGCTTGCAAATAGACATTACCTAGCATTCCTCTAATTAAAATTATGAAATTTACATAATAACAATAGTGATTTTAGAAAGATAAGTAGCTCCTAAAAATTTGAAAATACATCACGTGAAGCCATAGAAAACACCAGGGCATAGGATTTGGGCATCAGCTTGATTGGTCAAGCTGTTAATGATTGCAACACTAGACTACTGAGAGAGAAATCCAAGACAACAAATAAAGTAAGAGTTTCTTGAATCGTGTAATTAAACCCAAAAATCGACAGCAAGTAACAAGTCAATCAAATGAAAGACAATTTAATGAACAAACACACACATCCCTAATGATCTACCAGAAAAGAGAGAGAGAGAGAGATTGATTGATTGATTGATTGATTTATGAACTCACAGGAAGAGGAGATGATAGAGAGCACATTCGAAGGCCGCCAGCAAGACTGCCTCCAGAAATCAAATATCACAAGGCTCCTCAACCTCTCTGCAACAAAAGGAAGCCATGTGCTTACAAAATTAGGGCACATGAGATGAAGATCATCAGCATCCATGTCCTCCTCACCAAAGACATCTCTAGATGAATCCTGCACACCGATCCTCAATTTCTCGAGTGATCCAAGCCGTTGAATCTGGTCTTCAACAATGGCCTTAAAGGGAGTGATCTCATCTCTGGTCTCTGAAACCCTAGATTTGAGGTAGCGGTCCTCAGAGCAAATTAGGGCAATTGAAGGGACGTGGTAAGAGAGGCGCTTGAGTTGCCTAGAGGTGCATCTAATGCGCCCTAGATCACAAGCATCAGAGAGGTGGCCCAAGATGTCGATGATCAGAGGGTCGGGGAGGTCTTCCATGGTGAACTCAGTTTCCTCTTTCTCTCTCTACAATTTGCAATTTCCTCTCTCCCTCTAAAATATGCAATTTCCTCTTTCTCTCTCTAAATTTTGTAATTACAGGACTCCGTCTCGTATCACCTCCACAACCCCGACTTTGGAATCAGTATTCCTTTACAATTAGGAAAAATTACAAAAAAAAAAAAAAACAACACTAACTATCCACGCAACTTACCCTACCCCAAATTTTTTCACACTGTTTTCTCCAAACTATTTTTCCTCTTGAGCCCCCCCCCAGGTAATGCAACTAAGTATGCTGCGGCAATGAAGCCTTTGGAGCCACAGCGCTCCGGCAATAGACGACTGCATTTCGGCACTTCAAATACACGCTCCGGCAGTATGCTCCAGCAATGAAGCCTCTGGAGCTACAGTGCTATGGCAATGGAGGACTGCATTTTGGCAGTCCAAATACATGCTCCGGCAATCACAACATGCACTCCGATAGTGCTTTGTTTAACGCACAGCGCTTCAGCATATTGAGAACTGCGCTCCTGCAATCTGAATGCGCGCTCCGACAGTGTCAATGTGCACTCCGGTAGTCATTTGTCTGACCCACAGTGCTCCGGCATTTTGCGAACGCCCTCCTACAGTTCGCTTAGGTAATGAAGTCTTTGGAGCCACAATGCTCCGACAATTTAGCACCGTGCTCCGATAGTGCTTCTTGACATTCCTCTCTGGCAGTAGTATACTATGCTCTGGCACTACTCTACTTGGGATCCACACTTGGGATCCACAAATTGATTTGGTTGATTTCGGGTTAAAAAGTGGGAGAAAAGATTGGGTAAGGGTAAATTATATAAACAGTTCATTTTATAGTGTTTTTTGTAATTTCCCCTTACAATTTTATAGAGGTGCGGACTTCCCTATGATGACCGTTCGCACCCGTGTTTGGAAACCTGACTGCGTGAACCGGCGATTCGACTGGTCCGATCGACCGGTCCGAATTGCTCACTTCCTTGAGAGACTTACTCTGCTCCTAATAGAGTTACGTAAAAATCTGGTTCGCTTAGATGAATTATGGTTAAAAGGGTGATGAAATATTTGATCCCTATCTTTTTTTAAAAAAAGATAGGATTCCACCATTAAAAAAAAAAAACGTAAGTTTGAGATTTCATTTTGGAACTGTGATGTTTTCAATATTTTGGATGTAGATGCTTTTCTCAAAAAAAAAAAAAAATACAGCCAAGGAAATTCCTATTAACCTATAGGGTGCGGTTTGTATACAGCCTAGGCTCTAAACAATCAAATTAGAGCCTACCTTCAAATAGTATCGAGAAATATGGTTTTAATATCAAAAAGCCTTGTGATAGCCTTAAAATATATTTTCATATTTAATTATAAATTTTAAAGCTTCAAAATTGGTGTAAATCGACGTATCTATAAAAATTTGAAAATAGACGGTCAAAAGACGTGTTACAAAATGCACTATTTTCAAAAGTTGCAATCCATTTTTTTCTTATGTCCATGCATCTTGATGTCAAAGTGATCAATTTGAAGATATTTGAGCATCAAAACAACCTCTTCTTGTGAAATTTTTTAGGTAGGCTCAAATTTGATTGTTTAGAGCCTCGGCTCTATATAAACTTGTCCCTAACCTATAAGCCAAACCATACTAGCTTCTTGGTGCCCTAGACACCATAAACCATAGTCTAGACCTTAGGAGATCCATGAAATATTAAAAAAAATTCAATTAAACCCAGTTTAATGGGACAAGCACCCTAAATAGGCTTGTCCTAGGCTCAAGAAGTATCCATAGATTTGGAAACCACAAGGATTTTCTCATAGGATCCGAATCCATAGAGGACACAGCAATACAGACCGTGTCTCTGGTAGAGACACTCTACAGGCCGTGTCATTGACTCCAATGACCTTCCAAAACCTTCAAAAATGTCAGTGGTGTGGTCTCCTTCAATACAATTTTGAGGACGGGAAACCCTAGAATCCAGAGTACTTTTGAAACCCTAACGTTGGTTTTCAAACCTGAAAACCCTAAGCTTCCAAACTGAATCTTTGAAAATTCAGCAGCCATTAAACCTGAAGAATCAGATAATCCAAGCCCCCTTCAAGTAAAAACCCTATTTCGAGTTCTGATCTGAGCCCCAATTGTGGATGCCGGGCTTGTGAGCCTAGCTTGCAAGTAAGCCACTTTTTCTTTCAATTTATTTTCTAGTTTATTTTCTTTAAAAATTATTTAAAAACCTTTATTCTTGTTTTCCTTCAAATTTCCAAGTTTCTTGTGGTTTCTACGAGGAAAGATCGAGTTGGGCCAACTCATCGATCATGGGCCAAACCAATTAGTCAAGCCGAGTCCGACTTAGTCAGCCCGATGAACAAGTAATTGTTTAAGCACTCGAGGCAATACTTTTTCAATGAACAAGTAATTAAAGGAAATTACATACTACACAATAGTAAAAAACACTATTAAATTGTCGTGAAGTCTGGTAGCGTCTGTAGGACAACAGTCGTACCTCCTTGCCAAGTGAAATTACTGTCATGAGAAGTTCCTAAGCTATAGTCACCCAAAATTTTTCATAAATCCCTTATTAGTCTTGCGAATCGGCGAATTAGTATCGATTAGTGTATAGATAGGTTAAATTAATGCACTGTAGGGATATGTCCCAAAGGGTGGCCTATGGAATTGGGACTACTTAGGCTCGACCAGTGACTAAGTCCAAGTTAATGACTAAGTCCAAGTTAATCGATCGACTTGAAAAAGGTCGACCAACTTTTCCAACACTGGTTTCTACGCAATCCTAAGTCAGCACGGCTGATGGATGATAAGAGGGAAAATGTAAAAAGATCGAACCCTTGTGATCTGTAATTCGACAAGTCTCACTTATCTATCTAACTTTAATTTATTTAGTTTAAAATATAAAAAAATTTACTTTTCTACCTAACTTTCATTTATTTATTTTAAAATATAAATCAAATAAGATTTTATCAGAGATTTCCCTCGACTTAGCTTAAACATTGAAGTCTTTTGGGCCTTGGATGGCGACCATTGGGCAAACAGCTCTCTCTCTCTCATGACTGAAAAAGAAAAAAAGAAAAAAAAGATGCCTCTCTTGACACCGTTAATTTTCCTCCTATAACTAGTCCTCCAAGTCTATCACATACACATTAGGAAACCCCCATAGATGCTGCAATTGCAGAGGCTCTTGTTGTTAGTTGTACTGAAATTTTGGGATGGAGTTTAATCCAATTAAGGCTGGCAACGGGTCCCGGCTCTGCTTTAGGTCTGAGCCAACATACAGTTGACATAATAATTGTTGAGGATTGAGGTCTTGTATTCTGAAAAAATGGGTCTGCCAAAGTGGAGTAAAAAAGACGACTCCAGATGACCGTTAAAAGCTCGAAAGGCTGAAGGCCCGTAGGGCTTGAGGCCCGGAGGAATCCATCCTGACAGGTTGACTTGATGGACTCAGCCCCTACGGGGGTTCAAGGGCGACAACCTACGAGAAAAATTTCGAATATCCGTACATGGGATTCCGATATAGCTGGGATTCGATATATATCTGTACTTGGGTATTTTGTTGTATCATATATCTGGGACTTAATATATATATATATATATATATATATATATATATATATATTGTTG